TTATATATGTATAGATAGCTAGTATACATACTCGAGCGATGTGCGGAAAATATTAATATGTTATTTTTAATCTTACCCCTACCCATGCCCCTACCCGACCTTCCCCATTCAAAAAAATAAATTAAAATTTTTAAAATTTCAAATATATTTTTATCACTACCACCAAACTAGCTCCCCCGCCCCCCTCCCCTCAAACATAAAAAAAAAAAATTAAAATTATTTTTGAAAAATTTTTAAATCTTAAATTTTTTTTACCTCACCAACCCCTACCACCCCTACTCCCTTCCCCCTCATTTTTAATTTCCCATGTTTGGTTGACTTTAATGATTTGGAAAATGTTTTCCAAATCAACTTATTTTCCTCAAATTTAAGGAAAATGATTATCCTAAAAGTTATTTTCCTAAAGAGTATTTTCTAGTCTCAAGAGAAAATAAAAGATATTTTTTCAGAAAATAATTTTCATTCACCAACCAAACATGAGAAAATAAGTTAGAAATCCACTTGTTTTCCAAGAAAACATTTTCCTTCATACCAAACACACCCTTAATATATAATGTATATATACCTAGTATACATACTCGCGTGATGTGTGAAAAATATTTAAATGTTATTTTAAATCATTTTAGATTGTGATATCTTGTTCGAGCATGTTAAATCACGTCCAACTATTGCATTGTTACTCAATGAAATGTACTCCCCTCCATCCCTTCACATACCCGTAACCAATTCTATATGAATAGCGACAATGAATCATGTGATTAGATTGTTAGTATTGATTTTATTAGCTTATCACTTGGATATAATTATTAAATACTCTTCTAATTAATATAAATTAGATATATTTATTTTGTTTACTCGTGAGTTCTTAATTTTTATTTTATTAATGATCACATCTCTTTTATATAAAATGTATGGACAATAAGATACTTAATTTTCACCTTTAGTGATGGAATGAATATTATCTCTATAATTTAACTAAAGATTCATGATTCTAGCCTTAGGAATAAAAACAATTCTAGTAGGAAACGTTTCTCCTTTTAATGTGTCTTACACTATCGTGACTCCATATTATTAATCTGAATCCCAAAATAAATACCGAATACATAATGAAAAAAAAAAAATCTCCTACAAATATATGAGCAAGAATAATTGGTGTACTAACATGACTAAAACTAAATGATATCACCTACATAAATCTTATTCTTTCAAATATCATTAATGAAAAATGACTTTCATAATACCGAGCACATTATATGTAATTAAAAGAAGTAATACATACCTAAAGTTAGGGTTTCCATCAGACCAAAAGGTATTGGCAAATGTTTCAATACTATTTGGGAGGACCAAATCAGCAGAGCTCACACTACCATAGAGTGGTATACTTGGAATTTTCCCATCATATATATGAAAGGGTTTTTCTCTATATTCTATCAATTTGGACAATGGAAAATCAAATACTTCTTTTAAATTATCAAACATGCCCTCTCTAATTTCATTTGGAACTTTGTCATATATTGCTTCAAAACAACCAAATTCTTTTAAGGCTTCAAAAACTTGAACTTTTGTTGATTCCCATTGTGGAGTGTTTGGTTTTAGCTCAAGATTGCAAAAATCTATGGTGGGAATCTTACCTTTAGTAGATGCCATTGATGAATAAATTAAAAAGAGAGGAAATAGAAAGAAATAAAGAAGGAGAAATACTTTACAATATGAAAATTAAAGAGAGAATAGAGATTATATATAGACAAATCAATAACATTTTGCTATGAAGCTTCGTATTTTAAATATATAACAATAATAATTTTTTTTATTTTACTATTTACGAGATGATTTCAATTTTAAAAAAAATCTCTTAATTTATTTTTCTAGTCAAACAACTTTCACGCAATCTGTATCAGTTTGAAGATTTTGTTGAGTTGTGCCTCGTTAAAAATGAAGAAGAAAAGTTGGAGCTTTCTAGGCAAGGTCCTGGGGCGCCACCCCAGCCAGAGTGCCCCACTTGGGGCTCTGAAGTTTTGGCTCTGGGGCGCCGCGCCAGCCAGAGCGCCCCAATCCAGTCTCTGAAATTTTGCCTCTGGCGCCCTGCACCACTCAGAGCGCCAGGGACGCCAGGTCCTCTACTTTTTCCCATTTCATTCCGTACTAGTTGCCTAGCAACGTACCTATGTTTTCTAGTTGATTTCTACAAAACAAAAATATTGAGGAACATTTATAGCACCTAACAAGTCACAACAATAATGTTGGTTATGGGTCAATGATTAATAAAAGACAACTTGGATTAATTGTACACATCTATGCACCTCACAACAATATTAACCACTGAAATTTTAAACACGCTTTCATTTATGTTGTACGACTATATTTTTTAAAATAAAGTTCCGTTATTTTTTTCTATTTTTCAGAGCACCTAAAAAGAATGATAGTACATTAATTTTAAAGTGGAATATTGATTCGAAACGTCATTTTGGCCGCAATGATTTTAGCCATAATTGTTCAAATACCCTTTTATTTTATAAATATGGTATTTCTTAAATTTGTAATTTAGAGCAAATATATTTTTCATTTCTTAAAAAATAGTCTACAATTTGGATTTAAGAAAAAATTGTTAATTGACATTCTTTATTTTCTAGAAATGAATATTACAACTATGTGTTACTAAGAAATTAAAATATTTTCAGTTCTATAAAATTAATATTAGATCACATTGAAGATCTATAATTCCATTCAGATTGAGTAAATAAAAAAACTACTTTAGTAATCCAGAAACATATTTAGAAAAGAATATTGTGACCAAACCCACTCTTACATTTAAAAGATATAAGGAAATTTAATTTTAATAAATTAATATAATTCATCAAAATTCTTTTCGTACGATAAACTTCACTTGATCAAATTTCAACAACTCATAGTGTATTTTAGATTTCTAAAAAAATCGAATTTATTAAGCTGCTTAGACATAATTTAACTTTTGTACTTATTTAAAAAGTTCAAGTCACCACACTTCTAGATGAATCGCAATAATAATTAACATCTATGCACTCTAATTTTGAATATACACAATAAATATTTAAATTTATATAATAAAATTAAACAGATAAACACACATGGTACCTGATATATGCAAAGCAACACATAACTTGAAATTGTTGAATTAAACAACAAACTCTTGTAAACATGAAATCCATATTTGTTAGATTCTACGTAAAATAAAGGTTTTTTTATTAGTTTAAAAAGAAGAACGCACTTTTTAATTTTTAATTATTATCTTCTTCTTTTTTTTCAAATGGATTACACATGGACAACACTTTGATTTTCTACTATTATCTGCCACATATTTTTCTTTTTATTATTTTTTCAAGATCTGGTCAGACTGTCACACTGATTTTTTATTTTTTAATACTCTCATTTCAAGATATGCCACTTTTTTGTAAATTTAAAAAAAATATTCTCTTCTCTAGATCTGCCACTTTTTTTAATAAAAATAAATATTCTAATTCGTGATCTGTCACGTGATCATTAAAAATGGCACACCAGATTAGAAATTTATAATTATGCATTAAAAAAAGTTGGTTCTCATTTTAATTATTGTGTGTATTTTTTAATTTCGCATCACATAATAGGTGTGAATGAAAATTTATAATCAAGTTTCAATATAATTGAGATGTATGATAAAAAGAAAATTATAAGAATATCAATTTAATGTTATTTCATTCATTCACTCTAACGGGATTATTTCCATCCAATATTATCAACTATCACAATTCATAATCAACAATCGTCAATCAATACAATCAACTACAAACACTATTAGCCATTATTTGTAAGTATCACCATCATTTACCAGACCAATAACCAACAATCACCACAATCAGCTATTACTATATATCGTTAACTACTTTCATTGTTTACCGCTCCATTAGCTAGCACTATTATTCATTATAATTATCAGTCCCCACCATCAACTATATATTGCCACGGATCGTTACTGTCAAGTGTCAACCCCTGTGTCCACAACCATCATCATCAGCACTCATAACTCCTTATCAATCAATACACACATGATGCTTCCTTTTGGAGGGGAGTTGTTCCCTCAAGCTGCAGGGAGAATCACACATTGTGCATGTGACTTAAAAATAGAATTGGATGGCTAACTTGCTAGCACACTTATGAGTTATGACCACTTATGCTAGTAGTAATGTAGCCACACGTCTGATATATCTGCATCTTCTCTCATAAAGAGACTCATATGGATCATTTTGGATGCTAGCATGGTAACTATTGTTGTAAGCAACTCAATGAGAGGTATGTAATCATCCCAATTACCCTTGAAATCAATCACACAATCTACCTTGATACCTCAAAACACCATCTCCCCTTGTTCAAAAGCCATCAATTTTTGCTTATGAACTCTTGCCTTTAATTCAAGCAATAAAGAATCTTACTAATGATGATTCAGCCCCATTCATCACCACTACTCCTCCTTCTATGGAATCCATTAGTCGAACTCCTAATCGTGCAAGTCTATGCACCTCTTTTGCTAACTCTTTCTTACCTTCCTCAAAATGGGTGGTACTACCCATAGACAACCTGCTCAAGGCATCAACAACAACATTAGCCTTACCTGGGTGATAGAGGATACTCATATCATAATCCTTGAGTAATTCTAACCACTTCCTCTGTCTAAGATTAAGCTCTTTCCAAGTAAACACATACTGAAGACTTTTGTGATAAGTGAATACATCAACATGTACACCATACAAATAATGACGCCATATCTTTAAAGAAAATACTATGGCAGCCAACTCTAAGTCATGTGTTGGGTAATTCTTCTCATGAACCTTCACCTGTCTAGAGGCATAAGCTATGACTTTGCCATTCTGCATTAACACGCTACCCAAACCAACTCTAGACGCATCACAATAGACAACAAAGCCTTGCGTACCTTCTGGTAAGGTCAAAACTGGGGCAGTAGTCAACCACTTTTTCAATTCCTGAAAGCTTTTCTCACAAGCTTCAGACCATTGAAACGTCATTGTATTTTGAGTTAACTTGGTCAAAGGGGATGAAATAGATGAGAATTTGAGGTCTATCTTAGAGAAACAAATAGCACCCTGAAGTTTGTTCAATAAGTCACC